AGAGGGGTGGTTAGTAAAGGCCTATCTGAGGAGGTGACATGTGTGCAGAGACCTGAGTTACAGGGAGGAAACAGACGTGAGAAGATGTGGGGAGCAGTGTCGAAGGCAGAGGGAACAGCCATTGCAAAGCCCTGAGGTGGGAGGAAGCTGTGCCCCAGAACAGAGAGGAGTCCCGTGAGTCTGCAGGTGAGGGGGGTGGGTGCTGTGAGATGAATGGGGGCCTGCGGGAGCACAGAGGCCTGTGTCCCAGGGGAAGCTGTGTGGATTTTCTTCTGTTTCTTTTTTAAACAATATTTATTTGTTGGGGAGAGTTATTTGTTTATGAATTTATTTATTTTGGTGGAAGGACTGGGGACTGAGCCCAGGACCTTGTGCATGCTAAGCACACGCTCTACCCCTGAGCTGTACCCTCCCCCCAGATTTTATTCTTAGAACCAAGAGGAGCCATGGAGGGCTGCTTGGGGAGGGGCAGGGCAGGCTCTGAGTCGAGCTGCTGAGTGGAGACTGGGCTGGGGCAGAGGGAGGCGGCAGGGAGGGGCTGCTGCGAGGGCCCAGTGAGCGGAGGGGGGGAGCAGCCCTGGGGCCTGGACTGGGGTGTGGAGGAGAGATCAGACACAGGGTGGGTTCTGGCCACACCGCTGACAGTCTGGATGTGAGGCGAGGGGGCGCTGCGGAGATGACCCCAGGCTTTGGGCCTGCGCACCCGCAGGTGGCGGCAGCCATCAGCTGCCACGGGGAACAGCTGCGGGGCGCAGGTGGGGCGCTCAGGGCGGGCTGTGGAGGCCGGAGGTAGGCCAGCCGTCTTGGTGGAACTGCCCAGGAGGCCGCGGGCTCCCAGGTCTGGGTCCTGGGGGCCAGGCCGGCCGTGAAGAGACCAGGGTGAAGTCGCCACCCACAACCCTTCTCCAGCGGGGAGCAGCAGGTACTGTGTACCCAGAAACACCTCCTGTCGGGGTGGGGGTTCTTTGTTTCAAGGAAGTGACACTGGGGCCACTTGGCCAGAGCGGGTCCACGTGGCACCGACATTTTGTCTAAGAGCAGAGCTCAGATTTGGAGGATACTTTCTTGCGGGTTCCCAGAGGCTGGGATGTGTGTGTCTGCGGGTGCTGCTGGGACGGGGCCTGGCCGGGGCATGATTAGGAGCCGCCCGTTGGACCCGTGAATGGAGGTCATGGAGCTCGGTCACCGAACCCACACACTGGCCTTGGCTCGGGAGAGGGGACACAGGAGATATCACAGTCACATTTTCACAGTGATAGAAAGTGGACCCCGGGCCAGTGTGAGGCCAGTGAGGCACCTCGGGTGCAGAATTTAAGGGAGCTCCAAAAACTAGGAGTTAAGAGAAATATTTTAAGGCACTCCATCCGAAAATCAAAATTAATGCCAAAACTCTGAATATGGTCACTAGTTAATAATAATGTATCAATATTGGTCCTTTAACGTAAGAAATACACCAGGTTAATCACATAAAATGTTACCACCAGGTGGGGTGGGGGTGGGGGGAGGCACATGCCTCTGTACCATTTTCTTGATTTTTCTGTAACGCTAAAGCTGTTCTAACACACAAAAAATTCATCAAAATCTTAAATCAAGGCAGGAAATTGACACATTGTAAACTGACAATACTTCAATTAAAACAATTAAATCAAGGCAGAACTTGAGCTGGTGCCTGTACCACCGTGATGGCGCGGGCCCCGCCGCCACGTGTGGCCCTGGATGGAGCGCCTGCTTGTTTCTGTTCCCTCCGGGCAAGGCCAAAGAGTAAGGAGGGACAGACTGCCGAGCATGTCGCCCAGATCCGGGGGCGGGCTGACGAGGTCTCTCTCTCTGGTCATTTTTCTAGGCACAAACCCCGTGCCTGACTGTCAGTCTCCCTCCTTGAAGCTGACACCTGTGGACACATGTTCTCTGTGTAAATACGTGGCCTCCTGCCTTTTCGCCGTTTCTCGTTCCTTCCTGAGCATCTTCACCCAAACCACACGTTTAGGGGCCATCGTCTCATGTGCTGTCCCTGGGCAGGCAGGCTAGGTTGACTCTGTGCTGCAAACCCTCGCCCAGTCTCCACTGCCCCCCGGCTTCGTTTTTCTCCACACGCTGTCTCCATCTGACACTGTCTTACTTACTTATCTGGCGTGCGGCCCATAGTGGCCCCCGGGACATCACAGTGTGAGCAGTGACGTGTCTGTTTTCTCTGCTGCATCGTCAGTGCCTCGACCCGACGGGCACTCTGCACACCCCTACGTCCTCGTGGAAGAACGCAGGTGCATCTCTGATCGTGCCAGTAGCCCAGATGTGGAATTTCTGGTGCACAGGGCATGGATATTTTTCAGGGTTTTCATGTGTTTTTAAATGCCCTTCAGAATGGTGGTGTCACTGCCTGTTCACCACACACGTGTAAAAGCGCACGTTCTCCCAACACTCTCAGCAACCTTGGAGATGCTTTTTAAAATAAAATGTTGCTGAGCTGGCCAGTGGGAAACAGTCAGTCGCCTTGTTCTTGGTGAACTTGGGCACTTACTTGCTTGCATTGCTTTTTGGGCAATTTTCCTGTTCGTATCCTTTGTCTATTTTTCTATCACACTGTTTGCAGTTTTCTTGTTGACTTCTAAGAGCTCTTTACATATGAAGGACATCCATATTCAGTCATTTTGTCATGTATTCTTTCTTAGTTTAGACACTTTATTTGTTTCTTTTTTTATTGATGTGTAGTTGATTTACAATGTTGTGTTAGCTTCTGGTGTACAGCAAAGTGATTCAGTTTTATATATATATAAAAGAATACATATAGGTATATATATTCTTTTTCAGATTCTTTTCCATTATAAATTATTACAAGATATTGAATATAGTTCCCATGCTGGACAGTAGGACCTTGTTGTTTATCTATTTTATGTAGATTAGTGTGCATCTGTTAATCACAAATTCCCAATTTATCCCTCCCCCCTTTCCCCTTTGTTAACCACAACTTTGTTTTCTACGTCCCTGAGTCTGTTTCTATTTTGTAAATAAATTCACTTGTGTCCTTTTTTTAGATCCCACACAGAAGTGATACCCTGTGGCATTTGTCTCTCTCTGTCTGACTTACTTCACTGAGTGTGATCACCTCTGGGTCCAACCCAGGCCGTCACGTCTTACCTACCAGACTGCAGCCTCTGCTCCTGCTCCTGTCCCCTCTGTTATCTTTTCAAAAGGTAAATTTTACCAAGTCCTTTCCTGGCTGAAAACCCTTCAACAAGTACACCCCACACTGAGAATAAAATCCAGATCCTCCACAGGCCCCGACTCCTGCACTGCTCTTCAGCAACAGAACTTTCTTTTAACTTTCAAACACTAGAATGTGGTCCTGCCTCAGGGCCTTTGCACCAGCTGTTCCCCCCCTTTCCCTCGGCTCTTCACATGGCTGGTTCCTGCTCATCCTTTGGCTCTCAGTTCAGGTGTCGCCTCATTTGACCCCCCCATCTGCAGCGGTCCCCCTGCCACCCCCCGCCACAACACTGCACTCCAGCTCCCTGACTGACTGATTTCTTCCGTCCATTTGTCACCCCGACATCATTCAGCCTCGGGAAGTTCAGCTCTGGGAGGGCAGGGCCCGGCTTTGTCCCTGCTGTGTCCCCAGCACTCAGGACAATGCCTGGCACGGAGCAGGTGCTCAGTGGCTTGGCAAGTGTTTGTTGAACGAAAGAAGGCAGCTCCTCCCATGGCTTGTCATTCCTTGAAAGGTTCCCTCCTCGGTCTCCACAGACCCGGTGCCCCGTGTCAGCTAACATCTCCATCCCTTCTTCCTCTCTCCACCATCCCTCCTTCCCTCCTTTCCTGCCAGAATTCTGCTCCCTGCCAGGCATTGTTTTATGTCCCTGCGCTCAGGAGCCCCCATTAGAGGCCAGCTTGGCAGGAGTTAGCCAATGCTTTAGCAAAGTTTAGTGGGAAGCTCGACTCATCTAGGGGTGGGTGGCGAGCACTGGAGTCAGGGCAGGACAGCAGGGGTGTCACGGTCTTTACAACAATTGCCTTGGGGGAGACCCCACAAATCCATGTCACCCACCTCAGTCCACCCCTCTGAGCCCACCACCCACCCCGTTCCAATTTCCCCCTCATTCCACTCCCTCCCAAGCCCCAAGTCTGGGTCTAGAGACCCCAGACAGCTCTCAGGTTGGAAAATGAGGCCTCTGAAGCGGACCATCCATTCACAGTGCCTCATACCCTGGCTGGAGAGTGCTGGCAGTAAGCCTGCCCCGTCCCCAGCTGGCCGCATGTCCTCGGGGCCCCCAGCCAGCAGCTCAGGGGGCCAGGCAGGCGTCCCGGCACAGAGAAGGGGGAATTCCCTTGAGAGGATATGATTCCTCCTGGGGACTGCCAGTCTCCTGGCCCCAGCCCAGCCTGTTCAGTCTCACGGGGTTCAGAACACAGGTTCCAGAGTCAAAGGACGGGGTTCAAATCTGACCCCAAACCAATCAAATCATACCACCCGCTGCGCCTCCGCTTAGCCGCCTGTGAAATGGGGCCTCAGCAGCTTGAAGGGACATTGGTGTGCCCTGCTGACCTCGGCACTGGCCCCGCACGGTGTCAGCACATGGGAGGCCCCATCCCTTCCTGTGCGTGAAGCTAGAAGGACGGCGGGTCTCTTGCCCACTGCTCCCACAGGGGAGCGGAGGCCCAGGGAGGAGCAGGGACTTCCTCAGCATGACAGCGGCAGGTCCAGCGCCCGACTCATGGCGTGGCCCCTCCTGAGCGGGGCTCCTGAGCTCTGTTTCCAGAAGCAGACTTGTAGCCAGGGCATTTCCAGAGAGCGCCCAGGGGCCCGCCCGCCTGGGCTGCCTGGAAGCCAGTGTGACCCGACATCATGGCTGTCTTGGCCCTGATAAATCACTGTGCACGTAATTCCGCGCTCTCTCTTTCTCCCACTCTCTTTTCAAATTCTTTCCTGGGAAACTGGGTGTTGAATCACCTCCTGCCAGGCACTAACATCTCCCCGAATCCTCACCGCGGCCCCAAAGGAAGGATCCTCCATTATCTCCCATTTCCCAGATGGGAAACTGAGGCTCAGAGGGAAGAGGTGGCCTGGCCTGAACCACACAGCCATCACCGGAGGGGCTGGGCCTGCCTTCCTCCAGAGGCTGGGCTCTGTTTAGGGGTCTGTCTGGGGCCCGGTTTTAAGCGCCCCCTTTACCTTGAGTGTGTCCCCCTTGTTGAAGGCCAGCTCGTCACTCTCCGTGGCCTGGAAGCTGTACAGGGCCACCGACTCCATGCCGCCGTCCCCAGCCGGCCGCGGCCCCGAACAGGGCCGGCAGCTTCCTGCTTCCTCCGCGGTCGAGGACGGTCTTCCTTTGTTTTGCGAGCGTGTTTGTGCTTTTGAAGCTGAGGCTGCTACTTCCCCTGACTGGGGAAACAGGAAGCAGAGATGTCCCAGAGCAGGGCCGTGAGGCGCGGGCCCACCCCGGACCCCAGGGAGTCCCCGGGCAGCCCTGGTGGCGGGCCCTCCCCCCACACCCACGTTACAGGTGATGAAACAAGGTCCCAGAGCAGAAAGGCTGCAGAGCCTCCCCCAGCTCCGGCACTGCCTCGTGGTCCCCGCCACCCCCACTAATTTGCCTCTGTCCTCCACGCTTTCTAGACGCTGATGGCCTCTCACGACTCGCCACTGCCTGCCACATCGACCCCACAACCAGACCCCTTCCAAGGCGCCACCCCCACCCCACCTCTCCAGACACCCCTTTGCTATTCCCCTTCCCTCTGAACAAACACTGAGCTCCAGCCGCAGCGGGGGGACACCCCACATGTCCATGTCACCCATTTCGTCCCCCAGCCTTTCCACGTGTGTGTCCTCTGCCTGGTATTCTCGTCCCCTTTTTCTGCCCAGAAGACTCCTATTCATCCATCAAAGCCCACTCAGAAAATGCCTCTTCTGGTTTAAACACCAGGCACCTTCAGTGGGATGCGATTCTAAGGTGAAAAAGGCCTGCAAATAAATCTCGACCTTCCCTTCGTTTTGCTGTAGGCGGTGGTAGCAGTGTGGCAATTGTGGAACAGGTGTGCAAGTATCCTGGGAAAGGGTGTAAATAACACAGCAACGCTGTTTGGAACTGCAGTTTCCTCCAGGCACCTGCAAGGAGAACGTGAGGAAGAGCCCCAGGGTGTCGGACAGGAACTGGGCCGATCATTGTGACGTCAGACTGGGTGAAAAAGGAGTTTTTCCTCCTCCATGTACATCCATATGGTCACAACATGCTTTCATGTTTTAGTCAACGGATTATGAACCGTCACTGTTACTATTCTTGAGGCACACACTATCCCAGATTTGGCCCGTGGGACCCCCTTCCAGAGGCCCTTGTCCTCCTGATACACTCCCACTGTTCTTGAGCACTTCCTGCCTTTCCGGCAGACTGTTTCAGCTCATCCAGGACTTCTGCCCCCACCCTGGAACAGCCCTCCCTGCAGGATGGAGGATGGTGCGTAGAAACCAGGGTCCCAGTGTGACGTGTGCCTGTCACTGTGGGGGTGTCCTTGCTTCCAGACCCTCTCCCTAGACAGAGGCAGGAAGAAATTTATAAATATAAAAATGAACATATATATATATATATAAATGTGTTTATCTATATTATAATTAAATATATATAATATTTTAAAATAAATAATAAAATAAAATGTATATATAATATAAAACTTTATACATATACAGAACATATATGTAAAATTTAATATATATTTTTAGAACTATGCGTCTCGTTTCCTGGCAGACAGAGCACGGCCGTGCTCTGTATGGGTCTCTGCCTGTAACTGCCGTGTTGTGCATGATAGAGTAAAAGCCATGGACCCAATTAGACGTGAGGCGAGGAGTGCAGGTGGGGGGGTCTGTGGGTGTCTGCCATTCTCACAGCTTTTCTAAAGGTCTGAAATGTTTCCATGTAGAAAGTTGCTAAGATATATATATACATATATATGAATCTACAGTGCTCTCAAAATAAAAGGTTTAGTTAAAAAAAAGTTGAGGGGGAAAACGAGGAAGATAGCAGAAGCCGTCAGGTGCCTTAGAATCCCCCACGCCCCCTTCCTGAGGGCCTGGCGGGGCGCCCCCCCCAGCCCCTCCCCACCTCTCCTCCAGCCCCTCCTGCTTCCTTCCCCTGCCTCAGACCCCCAGGACAGGATGTTACAAAGCGCTTCTTTCCGGCTCCTTCTCAGTGAGGTTTCAAAGCCTCAGAGTAGTGCCATGCGGGGCGCGGGGGCATCCACCTTGCCC